CACTGCTTTTGGCGCACCTCACTGGATAACATATGGCCCAGCCGTGGTCCGTGCATGGGTAAGTTCACGTTGCTGGGCTACGCTTTCTGCGTGTTGCCATTTCGGTGGACAAACGCTGGTTTGGACTCCAGCAGAAGGCACGAAGATGAAGCGAAAGAAACGGAAATGCGGCTTGACTGCAAAACCACCGAAGTCCGAGAGCAAATTTAGGTCGATTTGACGAGGATTTATTGCTTTCTGGTTTTTCTAGAGCGCCTATCAAGAGTTTATTCCTTTCCATTTTTGTTTGTTAATTATTTAGGAGAGCTGACCTCGACAGCCGTGTCGACTCGCCTCGATGACGCCACGTTCCCACTCGAAGAAGGACGTTATACTGAGAATGGGGGAGTAGTTTCAGAACGACGAAAACCGAGTTCCTGGACTGTCTGTTTGGTGCGGGACAGGGACGCTGCGGCCGACAACAAACAGCTCGTGATAGCCTCGTGGGGTCCTTGATTCTCAGCTGTACGTGTTCGACGCCTGCTCGCGTGCGAACAATGGCTGCCCGTAAGCCTTGACGACCGCGTGCCAGTTTCTTGCAGATGGGACCTTGGCGGGAGCTCGTTAGCCCCAATGGCCGCCGGAACCATTCTGGGCCGACCTCCGCCTTGAGCCGCTTCTGCCGTCCGGCGTGCTGTTCCGTTTCCTCCAGGAGATTGTTCGGAAATCCTGGCGTGGAAGAGCACTAGGACCTTGTCAAGCTGAAACAACAGAAGCACCTAAAGCATTTAGTCCTGGCTTTCTTATTTTTGTAAAAGCCAATAGGGAGATAAGAAGTCTTCTATCCCATGTGATTTGATGCGACACGATTAACACATTTGAGAGACACCACAGACGTGGTGTCTCTCTGCAGGACGGAGGACTACAGGACGTGTAATTAAGGACTCTATCCGCGGGTAGCCGCAATGAAGCTTACGAAGGCGGAGAGAGGTCCATCAACAGGACGGAGGACTACAGGACGTGTAATTAAGGACTCTATCCGCGGGTAGCCGCAATGAAGCTTACGAAGGCGGAGAGAGGTCCATCAATTTTTGCGAATAGCCGATCGTACGCGGACACGCATCCACATGAAGACTCCTGTCGGATCTCTAGGATTACATTGGAATTTCAACGTTGTGGATGCGCAAGGGGATATAAAGTCTGGCCACGACACCGTCCTCGACAGCACCAGCGCCACCTTTGGATTCATTCATTTCATTTATTTACCTCAAGGGCATCCTCGCGGCAGATGAAACGCCGTGTTTTGTAAAGCTTCTAACCTTAGAGTTAAATCATTTTGGTGAGGATTTTATATCATGCTGGCATATTCGAGTTTCGGAAGGCTCATTGCCTTATAACTTAAGCAAGAAGTCTAGTTTTCTGGGTGGAAATTTGGGGCAGCACGAGAGGGGCAGCAGGGAAGGACACTGGGCAAGGGGTTTCTGCAGCCGATGCTTACCGTGGCCCTTTCCCTTACTCAGTTGCAAGCCCGGAAAACTCTCAGAAATGCGGACTCGAGGCACTTAATCCAAATGCGAATGTTCCCCCCCTTTACCGAGTTTTGCACTCACTGATTGAATGTTTTCGTGTGATTACAGCGAGATATGGTCTACCAGGCCGTCCGAGTCAACACAGCGTCGTGTAGATCGTATTGGCAATCTTGACCTTACAGCAGTTGACCGGCGGACTTGGTTGGCAAACTCCAATCGACGCTCGTTCGCGGCATCCGCGTTGACGAAAGGGCGTACCGTCGCAGCGCGTCTCGGTTCGGTGTCAAGGATGAACAGCGGCGCACGAGGTATTCAAGGAGAGCCGGCGCTCTGCATGGGCCTCGTATTTGCATGGCCGCGCGTCTGCACTGCGTCAACGGGAACGGCGAGCCCGGCGTTGCTCGGCAAACGAATCCGGTCGACCTTGGCTTGCGTCGCCATCGGCGTCCTTTTCCGCCTGAGGATTTATTCCGGGAAGCCAAGACCCAAGATACACAGGAAACTCTTTGATTTGCACGGCCGGTTTCTGACTGAAAATTCTTTCTTTGCTTATTTTAGATTAACCCCGCACCGCCAGAGGCAGTGTTGTAGACGGGGAAAGAATTGGGAAAGCGGGTCTTGTAAAATGGAAAAAAATAAATATCATGCACGATGAAAGAGCGCAAGTTTGCAGATGGATCTACGCTAATGGAAACAGATACTAAGAAACAATGAGGAAGATTGTGCAAGCCAGGTCATTCCACCACGTTGTTGGAGGAGCCTCCTCTCTGCTGGTGTTTCGAGAAGATTGGCAAGAAAATAACGGAATATCACTCTGCACTGTAGCGGGACATGAGCCTTATTGCTGGGAAAAGATACACGAGTTAATCATAGTTAACATTAGGCTTCTTTAATTAAGGTCGACGGTTCGGGGAGCGAGATTGCGCCATGAATTGACGAAAATTGCCCGCCATTCTCATAGACAATAATCGGGCTTTTTGTGTGTGTGTGTTTGTCTGATGTCGGGGCGGAATAGAGGAAAACGGAAAACAAGTTTGAGTTCATTTTGCCTCAGAGTACCACTCTGCTGAGTGGTACTACGACAGAGAGCGCGAGGGTTTGGCGCTCCTTCCACTAAATGGAGACGAGTGCCACCGGAGACTGACACTCGAGCCTTTTCTCGAGCGCGCTCTGCGCACTCTTCGGGCAACCAGAATTTCTCGGAGTGCGAGTGACTTCTTCGCGCTCCGTGACGTAAACAAGCAAGATGGTTGCGCTGCTGTTAAGATCGTCGAGACGGAAGGCGTAACCGGACCGCTGCCCCTTTTCAGTTGATTAGTGTTTAATCCAGCAGGTAAAAACGATTTGATTTGAAAGCCAAGAGAGCAATCAGCGTTCCGAAAAAGGTTTGTTCGTGCATCTCGCTTCAAAAGGAAATTCATCTATCGAACAATAGCGTGTCGATAGCACAGCGACAGAGACGTTGTCGAGATGAGACATTCGGACCGCTCTGTCTTTTTTGTAATGCTTAGCCCAGCGAATAAAGATACTTCGATTTCAAAGCCGAAACATCAGTGAGCGTCGAGGAAAAGGTTTGTTCGTGCGTTTTGCCTGACAACGAATTGACCTGTCGAACCAGCGTGCCGATAGCTCGGCGACAGAAAAGTTGTGATGAAAAGACAGTCAGACCGCTGCCCCGCTTAGAATGCTTAGCCCAGCCGCAGCGAATAAAGATAGACTGAAAAGACGAAACACCAGTTAGCGTTGCGGGAAAGGTTTGTTCATGCATACCGCCTAAAAACGAATTGACGTGCTATCGACCTACGGCGTGCCGATATCGGCGTAGCTTCCGTCTCGCTGTGCGACGGAACCGATGGAACCAGGGAATCTCTGACAAATTTGAGGGTTTCCTGCGTCGACGAGCGTGTTCAAGAGTGTTGTCTTTAATTTAAATCGGAACGGCATGCATGGTCAATAAATAGATCGGCCAAGGTAACCTTCCACACTTGTGCACCAGGCGAGTCTTCGAATCTTTCAGGAATATTAAAACGTTCGCAGAAACTTCATAACGTCGCCCTCTCTTTTGCTTTAGACTCTGCCGCTCCACACAGGCCTAATAATTTATCTCCGAAATATTTTCGGCTTCTGCCACCCGTATCCTCGGTCGGAAGGAGGTCGTGTGGCGCGTCGATAGGTTCTGGCCGCGCTCCAAAGTTTACTCTGACTAACTCTAGGGTAAAGGTGGCTCTGCGAAAACTTACCCGCGTCCAGCGTTTCTCTATTTTTGTTGTCACGTGACATTATTCGCCAGGGTAACTCGGGTCCATTCGAGTAGGTTTTGAACGCAGCCTCGGTGTGTCACGCTCAGTGGTCACGCTTTTGTATGCTATGCTGTGGTGTACTAGAAGAGTACACCATAGCTATGCGCCGTTTAGTTGCTGCGCTCGGAGTATGAAACTCGGAGCGTCGGTGTAGAGTACATTAATTACGTTTAGAGCGATTGTTCTCCTGAAAATAATTCACGGAGTCCGAAAGACACAGGAAGGGAACTCAGTTTTAACCGTTATCTGCGCCTTGATAGTTCGTCTAGGCAGAGGCCTTGGCCCATCAGCGTCATTATTATTGATTTATTTGCTAAAGTTGCGTCGTAAAGTAGTTCAGACAGAGGTTTCGGTGTGTCTTCACCACTGTGCACCCGTGCAGAAGGTGTAGCACATTTTCGGATATATTTCTCTAGATATTGTCCAAATTTTTGAGGGCTCTAGAAATATTGTGTCAGATGTAAAAGTGATTCGACATATTTGTAATGCAATCTGTATGCTTTTAAAACGTCAACTTTGGTACCCGCCGCTGCTGCAGTGGAGAACACACATCGCACTGATTTCCAAAAGACTCCTTGCGCTTGTCAGCTCGATGGCGTTTTTTTGCGCGCACCAAAATCTAGCGTACTCTATCGCAGCTAACACCGCCCGTGCAATAGCATTTGGACGTCATCACGGCGAAATCGACAAAGATTGGACACGAATTGCTGCGTTGACATTCGGCTGGGCATCGTCTCAGTTGCTGAGTTGGCGCAACCCGAGTGGAATGACCATGATACCGGCCTTAGGGGTGGGCGACATGGGCGGTCGCCCAGGGCGCCATGAACCGCCAAGCCCCCTTTATTTTGTTCGCTTTTTCATTTATTTGAACGCAGCGCCCGTTGCGGTTCTCGGCTGACGAAACGCTCGCGTTGAGCCACTATTCGCATGTTAACTAACAACATGATGTCGCACCTAGTAGATATGGGTGTATAAAAGGGAGCGAAGGGGGGGGGGGGGGGGGGGGGACGGCGTCACTGCCGAGGTTTGCCCAGGGCGCTTGATGGTGTAAGTGGTGTAAGGCCGGGTGATGACATTACTGTTCACCGGCTTCGATTGTTATCGGTGACGTTGTCCCAGCTCGGTGACCTCGTGCCTACAGGCTTCCCCGCCTAAAGCGATCGACGTTGTGTTTCGGTTTTTTGTCTCGCAGGGCCCGAGAACGACGAGTTCATTGCTCTTGGCCAGCTGGTGGCGGCCGAGCCGTGGCCGAGCCGGGATGTCTCGTGGTGCACCTGCGAGCGGCGTGGCGGCGCGACCGTCCAGGCGACGACGGCGAGCGCGGCCTGCCTGGTGCCCGAGCCGCGGGCAGCGTCGGCCGACTGCGGGCTGCGCCTGCACGTGGCCAGGCCCGTGCGCAAGCACTCGTGGACGCTGCAGACGCTGCTGCTGCGCGCCGCGCCGGGAGACCAGGCCCTCGTGCACCGCTGGGCCGACGCCCTCCAGGACGCGCTCAGAGGTGGGCGCCGCCGCAGTGCGCACCTCTTGCCCGGCAGAGAGCAATCCTTTGATCCGCCTGTTTCACCGACAACATGGCCGACAGAGCAGCTTGGCGCGAGTCACGTGGTACTCAGGGTTCCAAAGGGCGGCCCGCCCTATGGAAGAACACATGGAGATCGACGCAACACGGCTGATTAAAAAAAAAGACGCCGAGTTTACACTTTTCGAAATTTGTCTGTCGTGAAGTTGGTAAAGCACTAAACAGTTTGTCTAAATTTTAATATTGGATGCGTGTGACAAGTTTGAGAAGGCAATTTCCAAGGCGATGGCGTTTGAAGCAGACGACTGTTTTACGCAGCGGAGATGGACTTTATGGATTGGCCGGAGCGGGTCACGTGAACGGTGTGACGTTGCCGCGTCGTCTGCTGCACGATGCCGCTCGAACAGTTTTTTTAAAAAAATAATTAAGTTATTACATGGCACAAAACTTAGCGCAAATTATTGTAAACTGTTCCTTTATTATGTCAAAAACTATTGTCGTTCCTTACATCTCCAAAATAATCAAGAAACAGCGATTTTCTCATGCTCCCCATGCATATGTGACCATAGCTGGAACCCCCGGCTGTTCGGCGCTAGTCGCCGAGAGATGGCATTGTAGATTGCGCTACTCTGCTCTGAAGGAGCTATATAGTGCTCTATCCCGGGATCTGGCGACTCGGAGCCCAGAGGAGGTGGCGCCACCCAGCGGAAAAGATGTGAAGGAGAAAAGTGGGGAGCTATCGCCTCTCTGATTGCGCTGCGAAAACTGACGCGACCTGGCGGCCGAAATGTGAAACAAAGAAACAGAGGAAAGGGGAATAAATACTTGCCATTTTATTTGCGAAGGCTTTTCATGTGCACAGCTTATTTCCTCTGGGGGAAGGGAGGGGGGGGGTATTATGTTTTTTAATGCCTGACAGCTGCTGTTTTCTAGGACTGAAAGACTATTTTCATAACTCGGAAAGCTTGCTTAAAGACCGACGACCAGTTTGCGCTTTCCACTTTTTCCTCGCTTCATCCTCTCCCCCCTTCTACCCTGTCCACCATTGCCTGTTTCCTCCTCCCCCATGGTGAGGAGGGCCTTCTGCCTTGCAGAGGCTAGACTCTGGTTGTCGGCCTTTAAAGGGACACTGACACCCCCCCCCCCCCCCCCCCCCTCCCTGCCCCAAAAGACTTTGTTTATGTTTTGCCAGGCGTCTTATTATGATGTCAGAAGACTACCCAATCAATATTTTGCTACAGCGTCACTTATATTTTTTAATAAAGTAAAAAGATAGCAACTGCTCGAATCTGAAACTGAAACTGAAAAAATCATGTGGCTGTGCAACTTTTTTTTTTTTTTTTCAGTCAACATATTTGCAGTTTTTAAAGCCACAAAAAATAGGTATCATATTTTTTGCCAACTTTTAGTATTGAGTGTGCACCTTCGATGACCCCCGACTTTGATTATCTTTGGTGGTTGTGTCTAAACCACAGAAAACGACACGTAACCATAAAGAAGAGAGTGGGCGCGATTCAAAGCAGCCAGTTCTCGCTCGTTTCCTCAGTACTACAAGCCGCTGGACGTTCCGCTTTGTCACTTGCCTTACCCTCCATTGTTGGAAATGCCCTGATGTGCCCCTCCCTCAGGAGAGTCCCGTCCCCGAAGGCTGCTGGTGCTGGTGAATCCCTTTGGGGGCCGCAAGCGAGCACCCCGCATCTATCAGCGCAAGGTGGCACCCATCTTCCAGCTGGCTGGCATTGCTGTGCAGCTTGTCAGTGAGTAACAATGGCATAGGCTAGCGCACAGCCTGCTGAAGGGGAAAGGTGCTAGCAAAGGTGTCAGTGTGAATGTTCCGGAAATCCCAGAGTGACGAAGCGAAATCACAAAAAAAACTCCTCAGTCACTTCTTCTATTTTGCTGGAGTGAGTTATAAATTTGATAAATAATTTCCTAAACACAGATACGTTGGAATTTGTTTGGAAGTCAAGCTATGTCCGTGCTGTCATAGCATAAGCATTGCCCTGGGTTATTGTTCGTCCCACTTTCGTGCAGAAGCTACAAGGAGTGCACTGCTTTATATCTGCAAACTTCTAACATCCTTTGCAATCAACATTATCTTTTTATGCAGTCCTACAGCAGCTACTGCCCAGGAAGCTTGTTTGATAAAGTCCCGCTAATTAGTAGCATGAATTGTTTCTGAGAAAATGGAAAACAGTATTTTGTGTGTATAGCATTGCAGCTTTATTTAAACGCGGGCTCAGTATCACATTTCTTTGGTCGGCATAAGGTTCAAAAAAGAGTAACCCAACTGACCTTTGTTCTCTCTCTGCAGCCACCCGGTATTCTGGACACGCCAAGCAGTGCATCCTCGAGATGGACCTGGACAGCCTGGATGGGTACAGACACTTTTCGCTCAGTGCCTCCGGAGCATGCGTGGTGCCTGCCTCTGGAGCAGGTTTTCAAAGCTTTCAGTGTGTTATGCAACTGTTGCGGTTGTTTCGGGAGCTGCTCAGCTGAACTGTGGCAGTGCAGTGGCGCCAGTGTTGTCACATGCCGTAATCTGGTGTATGCTCAAGGACTGGAGTTTTGAAGTCTCTGGCACCCCTAATACCGATAACTCTATTCAGCATTGCAGTGGGGTGAAACCAGTAGGTTGCTAAGGAACGCGAAAACAAAAAGTACACGTTGAACCGAAATGCCGGATACAGAAGTACACACGCGCAAATAGCGGTAAGTTTGCGCTTCGGCCTACGGTGTTGCGCGCGATTCTAATTGAGACGATCTCGTAGCGAGACGGAACATTATGCGAAAGTCCATCAACGTGGTTGTCCGCTTGCCCGATGCAGGGTGGTCTGCGTGGGCGGCGACGGCATGGTCAACGAGGTGGTGAATGGGGTGCTGCTGCGTAGCCAGCGGGATGCCGGGGTGGAGGCGAACGACGCGGGGGCGTGCCTGCGGCCGGCCGCCCTCAAGGTCGGGGTGATCCCTGCGGGCTCGACGGACGCCCTCGTCTGCACCACCACGGGAGAGGATAGCCCCACCACCTCGGCGCTGCTCATTGTCATGGGTACGTGCACCCCGGGCAGTGAACGTGAGCGCAGTTTCAAAGCGGCCATGGGCGAGCAGACAACACTACAACCGCGACGACCAGGCCCACCTGCGTATGTGTGGGGGATCTGGGAGACGCGCGGCGGCGCATGCACCTCTTCACCGGCGCATGTGCGGTGACCCGCGCCTCCTGTCATTGTGTTCGTAGCATCCCCTGCAAGAATGGCGTTTGTTTATCCTGCAGTACCTAAAGTTAAAAAATCTCGAACAGTAGTGATGCTTTGCTCCGCAAGCGGAGCATATAGAATTACTTTACCAGGGGGGGCCCACGGGCGGCACCTGAAGCCTTTGGGGCTGTTAGCCACCTGGCTGGAGCTGCTTCGAGAGCAAGGAAATTCGGAAATAGGTTGACCCGTTTGGAAACAGGTGCCGCATGTCTTCTTTTCCTCTGACCTTGCAAAGGGCAAATCATTGGAAGCGACTGGAGGAGTCTGGCAAAGACGAGATAAATGGCCTATACCTTTTTACTTTTTTTCTTACTTTATATGTCGAAGAACGAGTGACAAATATAATGTCTGAATTAAGCAACGTGATTGGTGTTGGGACGCTGCGCACCATGTTCGCATGTTGTGGATCTCAATGCAAATCTCATTTCCGATCCATTGGTGTCTCCTCGTTCGCTGTGCATTTCCTGTAAATTGCATTTATTTGTTGTTTCTGGGCTCTGTGAGAGAGCATTTTTGCCCAAATTTTATTTAAAAAAGGCAAATTTATTTTTGACTTATTTTTGGCAATAGGTGTTGCTGCACCGATGCTAGCATAAAGGAAGGTAGGTCTAACCGCGCGACGTTCCTGCATAGATGGTTGTATGAGAAAGTTGACGTTGCTTCGAGAATGTTGTGCATTTTTTGACTCTCTATGAGTTTAAGGGCTACGAAAACTGTAGCTTACTTTTCCGAGTGGCAAGTCTGTCGGGCTGTCATTGAGAAGCAAGCACCATCTTTAAAAGCACTTGCCCATGTTTCTCTCTGCGGCCGAGACCAGCCGCAACCGTTTGGATGCGCCGCACCCGTGCACATCCACAGTCGGTTACAGGTTAAGAGTTTGGGAGAAGCTCCTCCCACTTCCCTCCACTTGAGCAGAACGAATGCTGGAGAGGAGGCGACATATACTAAAGTGAAGAGGAGTGGAGGAGCTTCCGCCAAAACCCGACCACAGCGAGACGTTGGAAGGTGCAGAGCGTACTTGGCAGGGTGTCGGGGTGGTGCGGTGGGACGGGGTGCCCAACATGCGTTGACCGACAGCCGGCTCTGGTGCAGGTGCCGAGGTGGCGGTGGACGTGGCCAGCATCCACAGTGGGGACCGGCTGGTGCGCTACTCGGCCGGGTTCCTCTCGTACGGCTTCTTCGGCGACAACATCAAGGCCAGCGAGAAGTTCCGCTGGATGGGGCCTCTGCGCTACAGCTGGACAGGTGGGCATGCCCGCCCCCCCGTACCATGTGGGGTCTGAGCTGTTGCTTCGCACTAGAAGAGCTCCCTTTTTGCACACTCGATAGGTCAGCTTCTTTTTATCCGTAGCACTGGCTTTGTCAGACTTAAGCAAAAGGAAGCAAAAAAACGCTGCAGTCGGGCAGCTCACCTAAAGGCCGATGACCAGCCTCGAGATTCTGCAAGGCAGAAGATCCTCCTTACCATGGGGGAGGAGGAAACAGGTAAAGTAGACTGTGGAAGAGGGGAGAGGAGGAAGCGAGGGAAAAGTGGAAACGCAAACTGGTCGTCGGTCTTTAAGCTGAAAATAAAAAAAGAAAAGGAGAAAAAACATCTAAAGTTTTGTGGTAGCGACATGACCTTTCTTGTTTGTTGGAGGTGTTGTGAGCTTCAAAGAGCTGATTCTCAGCCGCTTTTTTTTTTGGATAGATGACAAATTTTACGCTGAAATTAGTCAACAGGCATCTAGATGGAATATATTCTTTCCGAGTTAATGACTGGCAAAGAATGAAGATACATGTATTTTGTGATCCAGAGAGGCAATTCAGTGATATTAGAAATCCAATGATATGATTGAAGCAGAACTATGGGATTGTGCGAGCTCAATGACTCAATCGGCAAGAGCTCGTATAAGGAGTTGTCCTTTCTCTCCCTGTTGCCATTAGTTTTCTTAGTTTCATAGCCCCAAGTTTAATTTCACTGACGCCAATTCCTCGGTTTACTGAAGAGACCTATCCAGCACCCTAGCCATCTTGTCTGTCGCAAAGAAACGAGCGAGGTTTCAAAATCATCTGTTAAAGGGCAACTCCGCTCGATTTTGGAAATTTTGAGATAGTGGGACATGGAAAGTACTTCAAAACAACCCTAGACCGCTTCTTATAACAGCCAAAATATGTTTTGTGCAATCTTGTTTTTACCATAATCGCAAACCGAAACTGAAAGTTCGGCACAGCCGGGCAACATTGTACCTTCAACGTCATTTGCATACGCACCCACGTGGGATACAAGGGGTCACATGACCTACCTGCGGTAACCCAGAAATGACGCGGATGCACGGGGAGGGGCAAGGAGCGGGGAGGGAGGACAGGCGAAGCGGCGGCGGCGAAGAGGCATTGCGAGTGACAATGATGCAGGCTATGTAGGCGGGAACCCAGGCAGCTAGACGGCGAAACATGGCGTGCGACATCCCATACCAACCTTCCCTCTTCAGGTTTTGGTTGTTCTCGTTCGTTCTTTTTCGTCTCTCTTTTGCCTCTTCTCTCACTCAGACGTGGCGCACCAATAGCGCCATTTGGTAAGCTCTCCCTGGAAAAATAATACCAAGAAAAAAATGGTGCATGCAACGGACGTCAGCCACAATGGAAATACAATCTTGGCTGTGCCACAAGTCGCCGAATAAACTAGCGGATTTTGGTGACTTCGGGCATCTTAGTCTTTGTGGGCCGGTTTAATGGCCATTTAGATGGTATTACATTCTCATATTTGACGTGTGGTCTCTCTAGAATCTAGATGATACTAAAGAGAGCTGCATTGTTTTCTCACAACCGAGAATGAAGCAGAGTTTAAATTAATTTTCATGGCAGCTTCAGAGAGGGAACGCCTAGGACGGACAATCCACGGACCTCCACCGAAAGTGTTGTGCGTCATGGAGATAGCGAGAGATTAAAAAGACAAGGTTCCACCGAATTTTTCCATCGTTGGAAGGATAATTTGGGCAACTTTCTTTCTTTCTTTATTGGTTTCCATTTCCTACAGAATGGAGGAGGCCGAGGAAAAAAGCTACAAACGCAGCTTGTGGGGCCCTCGGCCCCCTTTAAATGATGGCAGCATTGGACTCACAAAACACTCACACACAGTAACAAAACACTTCCTGGTCAATCAGATTCACTCATTCGATACAGCTCCACACATTAGTATACAGTTGCAATTTAACATGATTAGGTCGGGTAAGGAACACAAAACAATTCTAGGAAATAGCTCGTTTTCATCTCAGGCAGTTCTAACGGCACCGGTATCAGAAAATGAACATAAAAGATATCTCAGTTCAGAAGGGGTTATAGAGGATATATCGGTGCCAGCCTCCTCAAATGAATTCAGTAGTCGAAGCAAAGTATTCTTAAGCATTTGGTCACCATAATTTGTCCGAGAACGAGGAACTATCCATGGTTCTGGAGTTCGTGTTTTATGCGAAGGTTGCCTTTTTTCTAAGTTTCCTATTTCTAAGAGTGTAGAGGTATTTTTCCTAATGCTATAATAAAAATCTCGCATAAGCCTCCTTCGGTATATGTCATGAACTTTTGGAATGTTATATTTCTTGAAAAGGTAGTCAGTATGTTCGGTGTATGAGACATTGGCAATAACGCGTATCATTCTCTTTTGCATTAAGTGTAATTTATGGAGGTTAGATTCTGTTGTTGTGCCCCATACAAGATGGCAATAGTTAATATGAGATACAAATAGCGTATTGTAGATTAATAATTTAACTGATTCCGGAAGAATATACCTATTTCGATTCAGTAAACCAGCTATTGGACTAACTTTGAGTAGTACAAAGTTAACATGCTCGTCCCATTGCATGTTACTGGAGAAGTACGTGCCAAGCACTTTTATAGTGTCCAAAACTTCGATGTTTGTGTGATGCTGCCCAGCCTATGGAGCGTGTCGAGTTTGTTGTGGCGGCCAGCAGAGGGCATGGGGCGGCCCTGCAACGCCTCCCCTCTGTGCAGGCTGGCAGACGTTCCTGAAGCACCACACGTACGAGGGGGAAGTGCGGCTGCTCGTGGACGGCCAGGCCTCGTCTGCCCACAATGCCGCCGGCAACGAGCGCTGCCGAGTCGGGTGGGTCCCCTCTCGCCGTTGTACAGAGCGCGACACTGTTAGTGCGAACAAACGATCGCCAGTTTTCTGTGTTTTTTTCCTTAAAACCGAAAGACGGTCATCAAAGATATTATTGTTATAGGAAGAGTTCATCTTGGTCTCTAATAGAAGGGGTAAAATTGTGTTCCCACTAATACTCTTTCCTAATAAAATGCGAAAAGGCGCCGATGTCGTGTTCGCTCTAACAGTATCGCGATGTGTATATGCAGCCTTTTTGCAAGCATGCTTTGAAGGGATTTTTCTCTTATCTTAGAAATAATTTCTTTGTGACTACAATTTTGCCCGTGGTATCATTGGATCAGAAGCCTGATCTGGATAATCTTTTTTAGCTTTGATACCTCATAAATCGGAGTGCAACAAGACCAAGATTCGTAAAATCCGAGTACTAGAAGAAGAAGATATGGAACTATAGCGCAATAACTTTTTAGGAGGATAAGAAAATGATAAGACTGGTTTTTTCACTTCATTAATTGTACACTATGTAGACATACTCTTTTCCATAAATTTTATATGGACACAGTAAAAAAAAATTTTTCGAGAACTAAATAATAACTTTATATCGCTAAACTCGAGACTGGAAAAAAAAATAAAAAATAAAAGTAAACGGACTACAGCGCACAATGTCTCCATTTTAGACGTGTGGGGCTGTATGAACTTTTTTCTTATTTTTTTTTTAGTCTGGGGTTTATCACTGTAGATGGAGTTACGGTTACCTTTCATTAATTCAAACTCCAGGAAACCACAAATTTCGTTTGAATTATCAGAAATTCATCTAAATTTGTTGCAAAATAAAATTATGATTTGTTAAATGAATGGCTACACATACAAAGTAGATACTGTAAACGAATTAATTTTCGCTCGAATTTTTGCGAATTGGGCCAAAGCTTTTAAATTATTTGCGGGTTCCAATTTTCGCGAATTGAGTGTAGCTTCTGTAGCATTCACATATTGCCCGAATTATTCGCGGGACTATTTTTCGCGAATTGTAGGCGATTCGCGAAATTCACGAAAATTAGGTCCTTGCGAAAATGTATTCGTTTGCGGTATTTGATGATTTCCTCTACACAGGCCTCCTAATCATCAACAGGTATGTCATACACGAAACATTGATGAAATGTATGAGAAGTTTACTCATCCCTCAAGAATTTTGTCTATTGTGTAGTGTTTGATAGTACATGACACCTAAAAACAAAATTAAGTTTGTTCCTCCAGCAAAAAAGTTGCTATTGTGAACTATTAGCCCCGTTGAGCGCACTTCTTACAGAGCACCGTTGCACTGCAGAGAAGCAACACCCAGGGAAGCAAGCTTGCTGGTGTTGCTTCTCCGCAGTGCAATGGTGCTCTGTAAGAAGCGTGCTTAATGGGGCCGCTAGAACAAAAAGTATGCATTACACGAAAATGCCATTTGAATTAAGTGGTTTATAAATACATTGAAAACATCGTGGGACAACCCAGATTTTGAAATTTCTTTGAAATGTTCTGGTCTGAAATATCTGTGTTTCTTTTTTCATCCCAAATCCATTCTAATAATTGCCTTCTGTGCACTACGAGCTTTGTCTACAGGGCTGTGGAGCAGAATCTGAGCATGCGGCTCTTCTTAAGAATATCAGAGCATGCATGCATTCACTGACCGATGACTCACCATTTTTCGTCTAGGTGCCTTGGAAATGTGTATAGATAGAAAGAACAAATCTGGGCAAAGCATACAGGGCTGTAGTAGTTGTGTCATCAAAGTTGAATGAGAAATGACAAAACTTCCTTATATTTATTTATTTATAAATACTGCAGACTCATGTTACTGTCCAAGCAGAAGTGAGCGTCACAAATATAAACATGATAGCAAGAACTAACAACAAAGTGAACTTAAAGGAAAACATCAACAACAAAAGAATTAAACAAAGTCCAGCGTGTCCTCCTAAATGAAAGAGTGAAACAACCTACACACTGTAAGTCGGACGTGGCTATTGTTTGGATGCGGCCATCGAAATTACTAGCTGCAGAAAAGGAAACTGAAACCCCTTAAAAATATTTTTTTTTAATCTTTTTGCCAGGCAACTTAATATGGTGTCAGAATGCTACCCAAACAATATTTTGCAACAGCGTCACATGTACAGTGGACTCGCGGTAATTCATACTCTGATATTTTGTAGTTTCGGTCAATTCGAAGAAATCTGAAAAATTTAATTGTCCCGCCACGTTGTTAATGCATTTATAAGCCGCTCAATGCAAACAGCGTTTTCGCAACATTCATGCTATTAGTTCATTGTGGCGGGTTAGCCCCGTTGAGTGCGCTTCTCAGCGAGCACCTATGTACTGCGGGAAAGCAATACCCACGAAGCTCGCGTTCATTGCTTTCTTTAAGTATGCGGGTGCTCGGTCAGAAGCGCACTCGATGGGACTAACCCACCGCGATTATGCAAGCAGAACCATCCTGACATTCTGCTTTCAGTATTCTTTCTTTATTTTTTTACAGCGGAGCTGTTAAAGGGAAGCTGAAGCGGTTTTAAATACGAGAAAAAACACCTGAGCCTAGTTAACGAGACCTCAGCCATCACGAATATCGTATTCGTTTGGTCATTTTCTGCGCGGATTAACCGGAACAGCGCCTTCAAAGTAGCACCGAAGCCACGCCTCTCCAAAGCAGAGGGAAAGGGGAGAGAGGAGGAAGCCCGTCAGCCGCCGTCACAAAAGGACCGGGTGGGGGACCCCGCCGCGGCTGGCCGCGCTTTCCTCGTAGGCTGCTTATAGTGTCTTTTTGAGCCGTCGTTGTCCTGCCGCTGCATAGCGCTTGCTTTTATCCGTTGACCGGTCATGCTATTGACTCAATAGCCTTACGTGCTAATTGTTCTCTTGTTTGTTCACGTGTTCGCAGAATTCTCGTGGCACCAAACCAAATGACTCGTGCTGTTGCACGGTGCCGTACTCGTGTGTAGCCGCCAGCTTTCATGAACAGCGCTCGTCGTAGTTGTTCTTCCCGCTTACCGTCTTTTCCACTTCGTCACCGAGAATTTAAAGGGGTAGGTGGGTTTGAGCAAGTACACCGTTTTTTGTTCGAAACGGGTTTCGGACGGCGCACATGAAAACTATGTATGTACATATGGGTTTGGATCTAAAGAAGGCTCGCTTGAACCCGACGCTCTGCCGACCATCTTTGAAGGTAAGAAGGTAATTCAGCACATTAAAAGTCACGAGCAAAGAGGAAACGTAACTGGGTAGGAATTGTAGGTCGACTGTTCTAGAAAAAAGCTGTTACGTTATTAGAAGTGTGCAGTGTGCTAGAAAAGCCGCGATCATTTAGCCGAACAGCGTGTTTCTACTGGCTCTCTTGTGTTAACCGCCTTATTAGTGTGTTAGTGTTGGTTTCTTATATTGTTGAAGTGACCATATTTTCCGGACCGACTCCGGCACGGGAAGTCTGGGAAAAAAAAATAAAACAATCTTGGGTAGCCCAAGATTATTTTCTTATGCTTTTAATCTACTCGGCTACCCAGTCACTCGGGAGAGGAGGGCTTGCTCTAATAAGTAGTCATGCAATTCATAATGCGACTTTCACGGTGCAACTTGTTTTAACATAAACTTTTTTTTACAGTTGCTGACATTATATGAGGCCACATATATTTTAAACGTAAACATAAATTTGGTTGAATTTTCCTTTCAAAAGTTCATATTCTCTTCAGGAGAGCTTTGTGGAAATACAACGCATGTGACCTTCTGTTCTGAATTGAGTTCTTTTTTTTACAAGTTACGCTTCTTTTTTTACAAGTTACGCAGTGTTTTTCGTATAAAGTTTGTGTCATGCAACAATTCTTTGTGCCGTAGAAATGCGATCTGACGATGATAATGCCTGGTGGCGGTGTGATGCAGTAAACAAAGCTTGGTAGAAGTATGCGAATGTAGAGACCCAGGAAGCTTTCACGAATTCGACGTCAAATTAAGGGGTGCCGGGCACACATCCGCTTTGTGTGGCAAACAAACTAAACTCAGCAGAGGGTACCGCTATCACAAGGATGGACCCTTTGCGCAGTTATTCGCATAGTGCGCAAGGACATGGCGGTGGCAGAACGGCGACCCTATCTTATCACCCGTCTCATCTCAGGGGAAGCTCTCCTGTCGCCCGAAGCCGATTATACCAATTATACTATCCCTTCAAACAACCTCAGCTTTGATCAACAATGCAGCCTGCACGCTCACGCGTCCCGCAGCTGGCAAGCACGAAGGCCGATGTGTGCAGAATTCTTGTCCTCTGACGAAACGTTTTGGGGAGGGTCACGCTAATCCGGCTTGAGGAGTCCTGTCAATAGCACTCCGTTTATTGTCAACATTTTAGGTTACAATAAATAGCAGCAAGTACGTTCCTGAAGGTACAAAGCCAGCCATCTCGCGTCCGCGCAAGCGGTTCCTCGTCTGTGTTTATTACTGCGGGGGGTCATTTTCCTACCTTGCCAACGGCTGGAACGCGTACTTTGTCACGTCGAGGGTCTTCTGGACACATTCCTCTTTCGGATCCACCGAAAGATTTCGAAAAATCAGAAGCCGAACCCGATTTACGAGAGCAGAAGACCCGGCGCCCGGCTACTTCCGCAAGCGACGGAGCAAACGAGAATCGAGATGGTCCTTTTATGACGTAGCGGCGCGTCACGCGTGGCTAGCCAATGGCGTGCCGCTGCGGCGATCGCTTCTGATTTCTTAGCTTTTTTTCGCGTTTAAGGATTATTTTGGGTCAAATGGTTGTGATATTTGAACTCAGCAGGCACAGACACGTCAGAATCAACCATTAACTCATTTTTTTCAAAAAGCTCTTCAGCTTCCCTTTAAGGGCTAGGTTCCCCAGGATCGTGTCCGTGTGTGTCGACACAAACCTACCTGGACAGCTACCGCCATCTATAAGCGATGGCGGCAAGCACACAACCAGTATGGTTTCCGCCGTCGCTCGTAGATGGTGACAACCTTTCCAGCTATAAAAGAAGAATGGATAGTTGGGCGCGTTGATGGGAATTTATTGTAGGAAACAGCGTGAGAAACAGACGACAACGAAGAAGAAGCACACAGTGTATCAAGTACAGCTCCGCTGGTCTTCCCTCTTCACGAGAGTGGAAAGGCTGAACGATTTTTTTTTGAGGGGTTTAATTTCGAGATTAAAGAAAGACAGTTTGCATATAGCAATCGGATTTATAAATTCCCTCTATTAGGATAGCTGGGCATCTCTCTAGGTCTAATTTTATGTCAAATCTGTCATTTACATGCCACCTCAATGTAGGCATCGAACTTTCTGAGGCCACGCTTCATAGATACAGTTGTGTTAAAACTAACTGAACTTAGAAGTGGGCAAGTGGAAAGTTGGGAGCAATATCATTTGAGCTCGGTACAGCAGTAGTAAAAAGCTCGAAGAAACCATTCAATTTTCAATTAGAAAATATTTTTCCAAAACCACTATTTGCTTTGAACTTAACTAAAATATGTGTGTGCCTGCTATAAATATGCCTGTGTAGTGGAAAGTAGAATAATATGCTTGGTATGTGTAACTATTCCTATAGAAAATCGCTACTTAGCCTCACATCATATTTAGATTAACTTCTGATAATTCAAAATTTTTATATTTCGAACTAAAGTTTGTAGCTTCCCAGAGATAGAATGAATGAGAGTCGACTGTATTTTTAATAAAGAAAAAAAAAAAAAAAAAAAAAATGCAACTGCTCAAAAGCGAAATCGAAACTGGACTGGGGAGGAAGAAGAAATGCAGAGGGGGAGAGAGTTGCCGGAAGTATTGTGGCTACACCCAACCACATTTTCTTTTCTTTCCATTCCTTTATTTTTCTGGCTGTGCAAAGCGAACAAAAATTGTGCACGTCACACTTCGCACGAAAAACGCAAAAGTAAATCACTTTTATTCGATGTTTCCGCATTTCTCAAGCTCTTACCAGTTCGCATCCGTAAGACGAGCTACGTTTTCAGCCAGGTGAAGGGGCGACGACTCGGTGACGTCTTTTTGCAAGCTGGTCTGGCGTGTCGTACGGAATAAATCCTAATTGTTTTGATCGACAAACAATTTCTTTTTTCAAAGCCATACAGATTTGCCAGTACCGCAAACAACAGTTCTGAAGTAGAGGTCCCATGCCCGTCGTCATCGCTTAGTCCGCTTTGTTTAGCCGTCCAGCCTGCGACTTCCATGATACGACGCCATGTTGAAAAGTGTGCAGAGAATGCACAGAGTGCTTCCGTTTCTTTGTGCAACTTTTTTTTTTTTCAATCAACGTATTTGCAGCTTTCTAGAAGGCACAAAAACTAGGTATATTTTTTTCTCTTAAATTGAGTGTTTTTTTAATGACCCACGACTTCCATTATATTTGGTGTGTGTGTCTAAACCATAAAGAACAGCACATGACCACAAAGAAGAGAGTGAGCGCGACTCAAACGAGCCAGTTCTTGATCGGCGGTTTTTGGGTGGAAAGAAAATGATTTCGAGCCACATATTATGTTCAGGGTAGTTGGGCACTCATACGTTATGTCCTAATATAAACCTTGGCGAGCATAAATGCCTTGTCAGTGTCCCTTTAATTTTGAGGCTACTACACAAATGGCAGCAACCGAGGCAGGACTTTTACGTACTTGTGTGTGGGTGACGATTCTTCTCGTTACTGTGGTGATTGTGCACCACCTGCTCAACCGAGTAAAAAATGGCTCTTTCACACCCAGGTGCGAGGTGTGTCGTGATGCAGTGGGCGTTGACCGCCAGCGCCCGTGTGACCCGAAAGACAGCAGTTCCCAAAAAGATGGCAGTGAACCTTGTGAGTATGCCTGATTGGTCGATTGCTTTGGTCTCGATAGCACAAAGAGTATCGAGCCTAAGAGTGCCAAAAACAACACATATGGTCATCAATTTTTGGAAAATTTTCATCATGCACTGTACTCTACCACCAAGTATGACTACTAAATACTTAATCAAAATAATAATTTTCTTTTGAGAAAAGGAAGTTTGAGGTTTACACGTACACCTCCAAATCGCTGGCTGCCGCACTACTGGCAACAACGAGCAGGGGTGCTCGCGACGTCAAATGCTGCATCCGAGAGCAGACGATGCTCCCTTCTTTCTGATATGCCAGTGAGCGTCTGTGGTTTGGCAGATTGTTTTTTTTTTGTGCTTTAGGCTATTCGCGGCATGCAACGGAGGGTGTGGAGAATTTGTGATGTGCTGTGGAATTCTATAGCACCACAAAGTGACATTTTGTCGGTTTCCAACCGAGATATCTCTGCGACAGAAGTAGGCCTGCACAGTCCGACGCAAACGCTTGCTTCTAACGTTTGCGTCGTGCTAGAAAACAGTTTGCACCGTGCTAGCAAACAAAACCTTCCGTACCATTTTATTTCTGAAGCGGCATCCGAGTCCATGTCGGCGAATTGCGAATGCAGCCGCCATGGGCGGCGCAATCGGAGGCGATGCTGGCAGATCAGATAAAACTGGTGAATCGTCCGAAATCTTGCGCTGAAAATCTTATTACATTTGCTGGTCATTGCTTGAACCAGACACGAATTATAGTCCATTATTTCCCACGGATGATAGCGACGGCCTTTTGACTGCTTCTGACGCTGGGTGAAAGAGGCTCAACTTGACCACGTGCTGATGCTCATGCAACATCTGATGTCGCAAAATGGTGAACCTGTAAAGTTGCGGGTTCGTTTCGGTTTTATCATATATTTACGATTAAAAATGATTTTATAAGTTTTGGAGAACTTTACCCTTTGCTATAGACTCAATTTCTCACACTTTTTTAGAAAATGTGTTTAGTTGAAAACGTTGAAATTAAAGGTGCTGTGCAACGATATTCAATTGGAATGTTTTTCTCTCTACACGAGCTTACTGGCACACCTGGGACTCAAGGATACTCACACGCAACGTCGTTGGCCAAGAAACTCCTTTGTTGCGGTGTAATTTCAAGGACAAAAACGATCATTTTCATTCAATCTCTCCTTTGCAAAATTTGATGACGTAACTCGGGGATCGCAGTACACCCAAGTGACGATATTTGAATGCGGTTCGTAGATTGGACCCGAGCATTGCGTGGGCACTCGACTTGGGCTCGTGACAATTGCTAGCTCGAGAAGCATTCGGGTTGTGACCCGTGTCCAATCGCTGCAACGACGACAACAGCCGAGCCATAACAATGTCTGGAACTCAGCGCGTGTCCTGCGCTTTGCCAACCCCAGCGCGTGGCTATGATCAACACTGGCGGCATATAATCGGCTCCAGATCACGTGGCCGCTTGTTCTGGCTGCGAGTTGAGGGGGTGAACGCTGCTCGTTTTTCTTAATTTTTTTCTGGGACTTCTATTGCGTGGGGTGAAAAACGAACGCGTGTTTCATAGGTCATTAACTTTAGGGATCCGTTTTAAGCAGTATTTGTGCACAGTACAAAAATTGTTGCACAGCTCCTTTAAGGCCTGCTTTAAGAGCTCTTACGGCGAGAGAACAGATGGCGCCGTAGCGGTGGAACACTTTTAGTTTCCGTATATTTCCCATTTTTTTCACGCATCAATTTGTTTTGTTGGCTCAAAAATCTTTTCACAATGTTATGAAGAAACATTTCTCATAGATGGGACATACATTTGATCTCTCAAATAGTGCAAGGACTTCACCCTAGTGGGTTCCAGGGTCACTTCATAGATGGCACCAGCATGCCAGCGTGTTCTCTCATAAGGGATCGCGAGAGCTCGGTCCTAAGCAAAAGCAGGTATGGGCCTTCAGAAATGGGCACCGACATCCTGAGCGTCTCGTTCACTGGGTTCCTTTTACACACCTCTGCGATTGGCCTCGTTTAGGGAAGCATTGTTCAAAGGAGGTAGACTTATTTTGGCAGGCGTACAAATATTTTCCGCCCGCAAAAGCGGGCGAAAAAGCGTCTGCCCGCTTTTCTGCATCCTCACCTTGTTGCTTTGTGAAGTTCACAGCGGTCGCCCGTCCTTCGCAGACTGGGTGGCGGTGCGGGGCCAGTTCCTGTCGCTGAGCTGCGCCCTGATGGCCAACCGGTGCGCACGCAGTAGCGCGGGTGTGGCGCCCACGGCACACCTGGGCAACGGCCTCATGGACGTGGTGCTGGTGTCGCGCTGCTCGCGCCGCAACTTCCTGCGGTTCCTGCTGGCGCTGGCAAACTCCGAGACGCGAAGCCCGGTGAGACGCCCCCCTTTCGTCATCCAGCCGTCTCGTTCATTGCTGGGACCCAATCAAGGCATAGCAACCGTCCTAAATCGTATCTCAGTCAGTTTTTTCTACCTACAGTATCGCTGCACTGCAATGGCCTTCCCAAACCCATCGTCGGCACAGCTGGGTACACCGATTTTGGAAGCATCATTTCTAATCGTGTTTTAACTTTCTCAGTTTTTGTCTTTTGATTTTCCTAATTAACCCATTCACTTCCAAAGCCGGCGATTTGCTGGCCGCCGCAGCAAAGGCCAAATTCCACAAAACCGACGTTTCGTCGGCCTCCATTGCAACACTTTTCTTTTAAATGTGCCGATAAATGGCGACACCGTTACACCATTTGTATTTTGGTTAATACTTTCAACACCGAATGGTACTTCATATTCTATATTTTTATGCTCCTCTAAGAATGAAAATAAAAAAATGACCGCATCTCCACGTGGTGAATGATGTTGATTGGGGCGAAGCTCTGGTGGTGCTGATGATACTGATTTTGTTCATAGGTAGTGCAGCTCCGGGTCCCCTTGGCGTTTTTGACGCTTTGCAGCAGCTTCTCGCGCCCTGGTCTCTAAAGCAGCTTGCTGTCTGCGTAGGCGCTGAGCCGCAGCATGCCGAGCTTTTCGTTCATTTTCATCCATGTCAGAAAGAGAATGTATGGTATGGAACGTGGTTATATACGCTTTGACTGCAGTGCCCTCTCATCTATGAACTTTGAGCCAATGCATGCAAAGTTTAACGCGATTATATACGAATTTGACCGCAGCGCAGTCTCCTGTGTAGGCGTTGAGCAGCTACATGCAACGTTTCATCCATGACATCCCTAGCTCTTGAGTTACTACCACATCTTGGAGCCCCCTACTCGTCCCACAGTCGTGGCCGAGTGGTTAAGCCGATGGACTAGAAATCCATTGGGGTCTCCCCGCACAGGTTCGAATCCTGTCGATTGCGCAAACATTTTTTCTTTTTTTAAGAAGACAGATGGGATGGCAATCGATGTGAGCACGGGCGCCGGACGGACAAGACTAGACCCTAAGGAGGAGCTTCGCCCCTAACAAGAAGTTTGGAGTTGTTTTTTTTAACAATTGGAACTTGGAGTCCTGGAAAAGTTAAAATCTCTCCACCGGTGAAATCAAAGGCAGATTTAGAGGGCAGGGGTCGGTATGACCGGACCCCTTTCTTGAATTCCACACGTGTAAAAAAGTTTGGGGCGAGGAAAAAGGGGGGGGGGGGGGGGGAATGAGTCGTCGGATCCGCTCCCGAGCCGCTCACACCGTTGTTGCGCCCAACTGAAAGGCTGTGCCCCCTTGCAGCTCTCGATTTAACATGATCCCTTGGGTGGTGTGGCGGGGGGGGGGTTTCTCAAACATCCAATATGCTGACCCCCCCGCCACCCCACCCTTCTGGAAACACTTGTGTCTGCCCCTAGGCGTAATCATAGATCTTGTGCATGACAGTGACGAAGATGATGACTGACGATTCAGTGTTCATCATGAACATCAGTAGCAGTGACAGCGACGGCATGAGGAACGCAAGGTGACCGAAACTGCAACCGATTCCTCGGTGCCGCCTTCACCGCCAGTTTCAAAGGCTCCATGGCAGTTTGTTTCTTTCCCAGTATATGTGAAATGATGCAAGAAGATCTGTGCGGTGGATATAGCTTTCTACAGCGACGACATACACTAAAAAAAAAAAAAAAACAATTGGCAGGACGACGAGTTAATTACAAGGGCTAGAAATTCAAACTTGTCGAGTGGACCAACCAATGGGCGGTCCTTCCTGGACATGGACTAGTCATAATTACGACTGTGGGTGCACTGTCCATGGTTCGAGAGGATCGTGAATGATATCATTTCCTTCTGAAAAGTCCCGACAATAGCATGAAGCAGAATTCATCGAGGTAATGCCACATCAGCAAAGTTCAAGGTATAAGGAGCAAGCACCATTGGATTGTGAGGAATCTGCAAGCGATATTCTCATGCTTCTGTAGTTTTAAGTAGTCTTTTATCTGCAAAGCGCTTTAGATGCATTGCATTCGTGCAAAAATCCTTCACTCACGTAAACTTCAAAAGTTGAAGTTTTTTTGTTTTTTTTGGGCTTTAGGGGTGGTTTTAGTGCGATAGAAATGGGGTGCAAATAACTGCGCAGTCGAGGGCGACGACACGGCAAAAGCGAAAGGGTTAATAGTTTTTATTTTTGTTATTAACCCGAAAAGGTTAATAATAAAATGCGACGCTCTTATAAGCCACTCCGATCTGTAATGCCGAAGGAATAGACAATTAAACGAACGGCCAAAGTTCGAGGATCCACAGAACTGTGAACATTACCGGGGAACAAACTGGTTGTGGCGCAGCAATCACTGCCTCGTAGGCATGCTCAACGCTGACACTGGCATCCTTTCCCCGACAGTTCAAGTTCCCATTTGTGCACTGCTTCCGCACCACCTGCCTGGAGTTTGTGCCCAAGGTGGAGGCGGAGGAAGGGGCGGTCAAGCGCACGGGCACCTGGCAGTGCGACGGCGAGCTGCTGGCAGAATCCTCCCTCCTGGTCAGGTGGGGCTCCCTTTGGCAAAGCACGCGGACCCTCTCTCTCGACAGACAGCGTCCGCACTTCAACCTCCCAACATTGGCGCAAGGTCGTAGAATGTCTTTTTGTTGCTTCCGCAAGCAGGTTGTGAGAACACACCGTACAGGATGGTGTCGCAGTAAATACAGTCGTAACGTGGCCCATCCGTTTTGATTGTTTGCCGCAAAGGACTGGGAGGGTTGGGTGTAAACCCATAAAGCTCTCACTTTGACCCCTCAGTTCTAAATTGGCATACGAGATTTGGCCAATATTAACATTATTAATGGTATCTTCTGAGGTAAAGTTACCTACAAGCTACCCTGTGTAGTTCCACCTAAAAACAATAACTGGTACCCCTTCCGACGACTGCTTTAAGGGGGACACTACCCAAAAAACTTAATATTTGAACCACTTGCCTGATTTAAATGACATTTACAGGGCTTGTTTCTGTTGATGTTGAGAACATTTGTGCCAAATTTTGTTAACCTGGGTGAAGCACAAAACAAATTGCAAATGTTCAAAGATGAAAGTGGGTGTGTCTGCATAGGAAAACTATTGTTTTGAAATTGTTTATAAATTTGTCGTTTTCATGTGTTATATTGCTTTAGGACAGTTCAGAGAAGATAACTATGGAACTATATTTTTATATTATACTATCTTTTATAACAAAAAAAACACTACTGTTTTTTGGATTTCCATCCTTTGTCCAAAATTTTAGTTTTTGAGCATGAAAATTGACAAAAATAAAAAATACAAGCTCATAGTTATCTTCCTCTTCAAATCTCACCCCAGAAAAACAAGCTACATAACAACAAAACAATTGTTTTCCTAAAGTGAAATTCATGCCAAAAAGTGGAACGGAGAAAGATGCAAAGTGCTTTAACCTCTTTCTTTAGCTTCGGTTGGCCGAAAATAATTTATCAAGAATTCAGTGTACAGTGTAAACTAATGAAACTTCCTGGGTATGCGGAGGGCAAGTTCGTCTGCTTCTTGCGCAGGGGGTAGCGGTGACGTCAGAACGCCGAGCCCTGATTGGCTGATCGCACCCCCTATCTGAGCGTCGTCTGCTCCTTTGCAACGTTGTCTGCTCGCAACGTTGTCTGCGTCTGTCTTACGTTTCCTGCGACTTTCGGAAGTGCAGAGGCCAGATTCACGAAACGATCTTACGCCAAAAATGTGTGTAAGACAAAACTTAAGAACAAATTCGTATTCACGAAACAAAATTTTCGTAAGTTTTGCGCAGGTTACGATGAAATCCTACGACAGCTCCGAAGCTGTCTTACGCACTTCTTACGATCAACTCAGCATGGCCGACAGCGTCGCGGTCGCGACGACCCACGGACGTTTATTTTTCTACGTGAGCTTCTGACGCGTCCTGACTTCAAGCAGCAAGAAAAAAGTAAAAATTACTTGAAACAGAGCACGACGAAGAAGAACGCTGGATCCACAAACACCAGGGAAAAGCTCCAACGGTCTCGATTCCACCGAGCGCGACCAAACGAGCTGGGCAGTTAGGCCTAGCAGGCACTCCGCGATTCGGCGACCGTCTGCCCACGACCGGCTGACGTGCTGAATGGAATATGCCCCCGCGACCCTTGTGAACCCTTCCCGTGTTATACTTTGATCGCTGACCTCAATTTTAGATTAAGAGGTCAATTTCTTCCTCTTGTTATCTCCTTGTTTCCCAAAGCAACGGTGACTCGCCGGTGAAAAAGCGGTGAATCTCCGATAGACGCAGGAAAGGTAAAGCAGCCATCGCTTTGACTAGCAGACGTAAAGCAGACGACGTTAACTGCGCCAACCCGCCGGCGCCGTTAAAGAGTGAGGGGTCTCGCCGCACACGAATGGAGGGAAAAAGTATTTGGGAGGGACCTTGCGGACACTAACACGCTCACTCTCGGTTCTAAGCAAACAAACCTCGGCGCCCCGGGACACCTCGCCAGTGAGTCCTTTGACTTCCCTCCTCGATGCGCGTCTGCTAGTTGTTAGACAAAAACAACGTACCGCTCGAGTTATTTCGTCTGCCTTCCATTAAAGGCGAAGTCAAGTTCGCTCCGAAAGTCGCAGGAAAGGTAAGACAGACGCAGACGACGCTCAGATAGGGGGTCGCGATCAGCCAATCAGGACTCGGCGTTCTGACGTCACTACTACTTCCTTTCTCATGCGCAGAAGACGAAAATGAGCCTACTTGCGAGGCGTATGCTCTCTAGATGTTGGTGGATGTAAATATAACATTTTTCAAAAACAACTTTTTTTGCAGAAATATTTTTTTTGGGTAGTGCCCCCCCTCAACGGTGTAAAGGTTGCACCGTACAAAGAGTGCAGCTAGTGCCAAAATCCCCCCTACTGCGGCCCTCGTAGCATTGAGGCAGACTGCGTGCAAGTGCTTTAAAAACTGCCTTCCAAACTCGACAAAGCTACTGTTAGTGGGATGCAATCACTGTTTAAATTGTGCTTCAAATGAAAGCTGTATCAGTGCGGCTTAACACCATCTTCGCGACACATTACGAAGATGCTTCGAAAAAAGTTCCCTTGGCAGCAGCTTAAACCCTGTTAAATTTTTACGAGACGCGCAACGAGGCATTGTAAATGGGGAGGCAGTACAGTCCATATCTGTATCGGCAACGAAGCAGCGTGTCGACAAACTTGGGGAGATCAGATGGCATGGACCGGCGTTGAAGTGGGCGTCTGTTGTGTTCCTCCTTTGCAGGTCTCACTGCCAGCTGCTCAAACTGTTTGCATACGGCATTGAGGAGCGCGAGGAGCACCGGGTGCCCCCCGCCTGCTTCTGCTCCGGCCAGTAGCCCCGGGAGAGGACGACTGCCGGGCGGGCTCGGCCACGGCCAAGTTGCGGCCGTCCGTCTGGCGTTGCCGCCGGGGCCATGGAAACTTGGCTCGGGACCGGGGCCAGTTTACGTGCGGCGTAAACAGTGCAATAGTAAACCCCACCCCGGTCAATCGGCGGTCCGAGCATCGTGGCAGCCACCTGCCTAGCTCGCTAAAAGGAACAAAAACGTCCCACTAGGTGGTTTAGTCCCTTTTGACAGCGACAGGTCGACCAATTGGCCCGTGAGGCACTGACTCTGCTGTGCAGTACATTGATATCTTCGAAGGCAGCAGAGCTGTTGAGCATCCCACCTGTGGCTGGGCTTATTTCTCCGAGCCATTCCACTGTCTGTCTGTTTGTTGGCACGTGGCCCAGACAAGGCTGGAGAACGCTCACTAGAGAGGCTCAAAACTTGCGGTTTTCGCTGCGGCTCATTGTTTTTTTCCGTGTCTGTGACCAAGGTGCATTTCTCCGTTGTTACCTCATTGTGTTGTTATTACGAGTAATCGTCAAATGCTGCGAGTGAAAAAAAATAAAAAAAGATGGTGTGTAGGAAGGGGGGGACGGGTATGTTAAAAAGAGGAGCGTGGTTACTGGTGACTCCACACAATTCGACTCCAAGTTGTCCCTGTAGTCTGTGATACCCTTGCAAGGAGCAAAGGGAGAATGTGATAATCCTTTTTGGAGCTCGACTTGCGAGAGACTGGGTGTTGAGACATTGGTGGACACGCTCGTAAGTCTGAACGCTTTGTATTGGGGTTACGTTTGTTAGTGTTGTTATTTTGCCTTGCATACTATATTGTTACCTCTCATTTTGTATACACGTATATATATATATATAATAAAAAGTCTGCCGCTACTTCACTTTTTGGGAAAGAGGCTGTGGTGTGTGTGCCACCTTGCTCTAAAAGTGTCGAGGAAGTGGCAGGCAGACTGTCGGATGTACATAAAAGGAATAAAATCTATTCCAACCCAACAAGGACGAGTCAAGTACTGCCACAGTTCAGAGCAGAGTCTCTGTCAGATCGGGTGGGTCCTCGAGGTGTTGTGGGGGAAAGCACCCCCCCCCTGCAATGGGCGGGTCCACTCAGCGGCCCCTGGCGGCGCCCCGGCCCCTGCGGTTGGCCCCCCTGGCACCTCCCGGGGTGGCGCTCTTGCCCCCCTTGGGCGGCGGGGACTTTGGGCGCAGGGCCTCGATGCGCTCGGTGCAGCCGGTCAGGTAATCGTTGGTGCCCTTGTTGAAGTGGGCGTTGTAGGCGTCGCTGCAGAAGTTGCTGTTGGTCAGCTCGGGCCCGATGGTGAGCCAGCCCGGCCGGATGGACACGTCGCGGCCGAACACGTGCAGACGTCTGCGGCCGAGGCAGAAGTGCTCTACGATGTGCATGATCTCCTCGGGCTTCTCGGTGCCACCAAACTGCGGCTCCTCGGAGATGATGAGGTCGATGTCCACGTTGGCGTGGATAAAGTCCCCGTCGGTGCTGCGGCGCACGGTGCCCTTGATGCCCATCAGGCAGTGCTCCTTGGTGCGCTGGAACACGGCGCGCGGCTCGAGGTTCTTGAGGTGCACGGGGTTCTTGGCGTTGGTCTTGATCCAGCAGATGTCCTCGCAGCGGCGGAAGCCCCACTTGCGCAGGCATTGGCGGCCCAGGTCCAAGCCGTCCGACGAGCCGCACCAGAGGAAGAGGAAGGAGCGCGACGCGGCCACCTCCTCGATCTCCAGCCGCATGATCTCCTCCCAGCTCCAGAACTTGGTGTGGGCCAGGCCGCACGTGCGCTGGTACTCCTCCAGCGGCGGCTCGACCAGGATCACGTCGAACTTGCTCTTGACGGTGCGGAAGTCGAACGTCTCCAGGTCGCACTTGAGGTACATGGGCGGCGCCGCCGTCTCCCGGATCAGCTCGTCCTTGAGCCGGATGAGCTCCTTGAGCTTGGGGTACTCCTCGAAGCGGTCGGCCAAGCCCACGTCACGGATGAAGTTCTGCGGCCGCTGCCCGGTGTCCACGAAGTGCTGGCAGTAGTCGTTGTGCGGGTTGGCGCTCTGCGTGCCCTTCAGGAAGGTGCTCGAGTCCCGGTATGTGTACACCTCTTCGCCGCTTTGGGCACCATCCGGAGAGCGCAGCGGCGACCGCGCCGCGTCGGGCTCCAGCCGCGGCAGCTTGCACTCCGCCGAAGGGTCGTCGCCGCCTTCGTTGGCGTCTGGGCCCACCTTGGAAGCTTCGTCCTGCGCACACGGCGGTCGCTCATTTCCCAGGATCTGACTCAGGTTGCTGGCGGTTCCGGCGCCGAGTTGCTGGGCGAGCAGCGCCCGCCTCTTCTGCGAGCGCTCCTTGAGCGACTGCCGAACGGAGAGCTCGCCGCTATTCATGCCGAAGCGATGCGCTAGAGTGGTCAAAGAACGCCCCTTCCGTCCTTCGAAACGATAGCGACGGCCTTAGAGAAGGACACGAGGAATTTAACGTGGGTACATGGGGTTCGTGGCACTGGAGTACGAGGTATTACGTTCCATCATAGAAAACGAAGCGCGAAGCAGGCGGGGAACACGGCAGACACCGGCTCGGGGGAACACAACACAGAGCGCGCTTTTAAGGTTCGTACAAAACGCGCTAGGCGGCGGTGGCATCGGAATTAGCGTTGCCGTCTTGTTAGGTTAGAAATCCGCCAAAATTAGCCAAAATGCTTTATCAAAATAATTTTAATACTATTTTGACGTTTTTGACACCAATTTTTGAAAACCTGAAAATATTTGGGAAGTCATTTGAATGTTTTTTGTCAAAGTATTTTTTTTTGCTATTTTAACAATGCTTTGCTACTTTAATGTGGATAAATAAATAATAATAGCTGTACCCTTTATAATGGGTGTTAGCTTGCGCTACCTAGCGAAGAAAGCAAAAGTATGATTAATTTCCTCACCCTTCAAAGCCAATTTGCTCCCCCTCTGCATTTTTCTATCATCAGGCAGTGTGCGATATCGCCAGGGTGACCTTTGGGGATCGGGTAGAAATATTAAAAACATAACAAAAAATATCGTAAGGATGCAGGTGAGCTGGCGAATAACAACCATGTTAACCGTGGACTTTGGACACTTTTGCGCGATGAATTCAACCACTGGATGGATAAATGTTGAATGGATTTTATTTCTTTATTTTTATTTCCAAATACTGCTGATCTCTGTTCAAAGGAAAACAATTGAAACGATTGATGCGCGGTTGATAAGATTTAATGGTAAGCGGGTTTCTTCACGGGTAGATAGATATTCATCTACGTTAATTTTACACTTCCTTTTAATTAGTTGAAATAAAAATTGAAGTCTGCATGTGCGGTGTCTTTCTTGAATTGAGACAAACCCAACCTTTTTGGTAAGCTCTGAAATGGAAGCTTTTCTATAGAAATTAAAAATGAATCTGACAGCTTTGTTTTGTAGTTGTGTCGAACCGAAATTTTTATCGGTTCGGTTCGGGCTCGGGTTCGAAATCACGGCTTTCGGTTCAGTTTCAGTTCAGTTTCGGGCAGCCAAAATAACGGTTCAAACCGGTTCGAACCGGTTCAAACCACTAAATTTATATAATTTCTGGATTGTTTTGTCTATAGGCATTATTTCCACCGTGAAGTGAGTAGTTATACTATATACTTTTTTTGTCGTTCGTACAATCTACTTTTATTTTCAGGTACCTGAAATAAGAAATTGCGTTATTTAATTTCAACTAAACGGTAAACGGGAATCTCGATTAGCATGCGAAACGTCGCGTTTATACGACTCAATATCCATTGGTTTACCTCAGTCACACACACCTTACCTGAAGCAAAAGGTTGTCACGAAGTGTGATAGGTCGCCTAAAATACCCGTGATTGGTACAACTTTGCGTCGCACTATTAAAATTTAAATCGTAGTTGTACTCTTGAAATAAGTAATTAATTACAGTGCATAAAATTATCAAATGGCCATATCGTCCCCATATACAGGGTATTTCACGAAAAGTGGACAAATTCGATATTGCGGAAACTACGCGTCGCAAAAAAATAAAAGGCTTATGTTGTTTTGGTCCTGGGCCAGGGGCCTATTTAAGACAATTATTAAAGTCCGGAATAATTAGGTTGTTAATTATATTTTGCGTAATTAACTTTTTAATATTGTGTTTAAGGGCATGGTTTCAAACTTTCAATTAGAAAATTGCTCAATATCATCGAAAAACACTAAATCAACCAATTGCAGAGCGATAGAAGGCACGCGAAGCATTTTACATCTTTCTGAAAAACCACACACATTCGATGGGTTTTTAAGTTTCGGTTTGCAATCGGAGCGCATCTCGGCCCCGACGGCACCGCCCCCCCCATGGAGAAATAGTGCAACCAACCTCTGCTGCGCTGTCCTCACGCAACGTTCGCTTTGCAAAAAGCTGCTTGCACCCACATCAATGATGCTAATCAAGAAATTTGGTTTAAAGAAGCCGACCTTAGATTGTCCGACAAGATGGAACTCTCCCTCTGACAAGCTGGAGAGGCTGATCGTCCTCAAAACATTTTGCGCTGACATGGAGGAAAGCAGCACTGACTTTGTGATGTGTGAACAAACCTGGAATGCTGTCTAAAGAATCATCGAAAGCTTAGCCTTGCAAAGACCGCAATCAAGGCTTTTCAGAAGCAGCAGCTGGGCTTCTGCGATTTTTTCGCTACATGGCTGCAATGCACACTGGAAAATGCGAAGATATATACACTTTATTTTTGCTCAACGACTGTCATGTTCCTTAAAGCAAAAGTAAAAAAAGTTTGCTCGAGAGCGTCGCTTTTCAAGCCTGCGTGTTTCTGGATCCACGCCTTAACGTCAATCTAAAAAAGAATAAAAAAAAAAAAAAAAAACATTGCTAAGCACCGCTTTGGACGAAAACGTGGGGGACCCTGAAAAAGATGCTGCCGAGTTCTTCGGCGGTACACGAGCCTTCTTCGTCTAGCGAGGAATTGACAGATGACTCTAACGATGACCTAGACGCCTTACTAAGACCAAAGATGACACTGAAACGCAACAAAACAAATGTGAAAGCATGAGCAATCAGGCCATTGCTTGATTTCTTCTTAGGAGAGTGGCACAATGTCACAAAGTTTATGGTAAGGTAAACAATTAAAAAAAAAAGCATGTGCCACAAGAACCACTCCCACTTTTATGTGCCCTGCTCCCTGAGTGTAGTATATAGTATCCCCCTTTCATGTGGTAAAAGCTACGCTGGACAGACCGGACGGTGTGTGAACGACCGGCTACGAGAGCACAATCTCTCTCTAAAGTCTACGGTGGGGGGCCATCTACCCCTTCACTGTAAATCCTGTAATTGTACGCCCTCCTTAGCGAAAACCAAGATAAGAGGCAGGTACCGAGAAAAACACACCAGAGAGATTTTTGAAGCCTTTAATTACATTGTGTGATGGAGACTGTGGCGCTTGAACCGTATAGACTTCGGCTTTCTATGTTGGTGGCGATGAACTTGAGTTTAAGACTATATAAAGAAGTGGACTAAATAGACGAGCTCGCTGAGTTTGAGACGCCGCCCTGTGTATTTTCTCTTCCTTCTGCGTTTTGATGTTTCTCTTCTTCTCCACTCTCGGGTTAATTCAACATGGTTAAACATCATGTTGAAAGTTTGGATGGATGAGAACGCTGTGAATTTGGGAGTAGAATAAGGGTTTGAATGGCTGGGATGTTTATGAATTCGGGAGCAGAAAAAAAAAAGGGGGGGGGGGGGGTGTGACGGCTTGGATCTTTGTTATACCCCTGTCAGGCGGGCACCTAAAATGACCTTTACGCCAAAGGACCTTTAGTGTGAATGTCCTTTAGGCAGTACCACACGGCAACTCAAATGGTATTTAGCGTAAAGGTCCTTTCCGTGAACCTGAGTTCCCGCAACTCCTTTATGCCTGCTAAAGGTGTACTCTCGTCAGCAGCGGTCTACACTAGAGAAGCGAATTGAAATTAAAGATCGTACTGATATCTAA